TTCTTGGTAGCCATTCTAGGATGTTTGTACAAACTCTACTGTTGATGAAGATGCCTTCCATTGCAAAACTCAGATCTTTTCCAGTATCCAACTTTTCCCTACTCAAAGGGAAGATGGGGAAGGTTTGTCAGAAAGGTCTCTGACTGTTGCTTTTGAGCAGTTTTTGGGGGTTATTTGATCTAGCAATGATGATTAATCTATGATGCAGTTGTTTGCTGATTATCTGAAAATAAGTTTTCAAAATAATAGACTCACAGAAGGAAAACAGTTATCATGGCATCCAGATGGTTTCCCAAACTGAAAAAATTTGTTTCAGTTGTTTCTTTACTAATGTTTCAGTGCAGCTTTCTTATCATTTTCTCAGAGACTTTGTGACTTAAGTTTTGCTTTTCCTGTTTGCTTCTATTTTTTAATCCATAATTTAATAATACATATGCTGGAAGGAAGCTATTACAAAAGCAATTCAAAGGCTTATGTTAACTTGGAAAGATAGCACTGCAGCAAGCACTTTTTTTTCTCCACAGCAACATTCCAGGTGGTATCATATCAGAATTTTCTACAGCTATTTCCAAAGAGAACACAGCTCTGCAATATCCTCCAGTATCACAGTATCTTAAGTAGTAGCTTCCCTTTCACACAAAAGGAGCTACAAAAAGTAGAAGTTGAACCAACATCTCTGTAGGGAAGGAGCAGGAAGAAAAGGTTGGGAAAATGTGTGCTTTCCCAGGACTGGAGTAGGATTTTAAATTCCAGTCCAGATGCTGAAGTTTAAAATCTCTTTCTAGCCCTGAAGTACTGGTGAACATTGAGCAGCTCACTAGACCCACTGTGGGAAAGGGCTTTAACCTTTCCTGTTTTTCAAAAAGATGGTTCAAAAGGCTTAATCAAAATATTTTGAGAACATCAAGTGAATGGAGCTACACAAAATATCATTAATAGCTGGAAAATGTAACAAATTAACTCCAGCCTTCACCATATACATTATTCTGAAAGAAGGTAGTATCTCTGAGCTAAAAAGTTGACTAGGATATATCTTTACCCCTTATGAAGCAGTCTTTCAGCAGCTTTGTCCTCCACAATACCAAGGTCTCTGTAATCTCATTTCAAAAATATAATACAAGCACCTCAAATCCTCAAACTTTTATGATAACTGACAATGTAGGAAACTTACTTTTATGTATATATATATATAAATTTCCTGCATTTCAAAGTTTGAGGATATGGGGTGCCTTTATTATGTTTCTGAACATATATATAAAAATATATAAGCCATGCTACAAAGATGACAGGAAAAGTAATCTGTAATTGAATTCAATTTACAACTCCTAGATCATTCAGCCTCCCTGACTCATCCAAGCCACTCTGCTTTATCAGAACTGCCAGCATCACACTGAGACAGCATGCAATAAAATATGGAAAATATGTTCACTGTGTGTGACCTCAGGGATGATATGACCTGTCATGAAAACCACTTTCTTCTTATGGTGAAATGCCACAATGCAGTTCATTAGCTTGGAAGCAGACATATATTGCTGCTGCTAGTGGTACTGCTTCTGCCATACCTGTTTTGTGTACAGAGGATTTCAGGGCTCAGCATTACACACTCAGCCTCCTTCACCAGCCCAAAATGCAAAGCTTCACTTCTGGCCATAGTCCTGAGTAATAAATATGAGATGAAATCTCTCTTATGCATCTAAATGGTGAAGTGCCGTGAGATAACACCCTCATATGCTCCTTCTGCCCTCAAAGTGGGGTAAAAACTGGCTGCCCTTGAGCCAGTCCTTTGCAGACACAGGAACTTAAACAGCACAGATACTCCAATAAAACCACATGATACTACTTTCATGCAACTCAGTTTTGTAGACACAGATCTAGTTGTACCTGTCACTGGCCCAGCCTGAACCCTCACTTTTCTCATTTCAGCTCTAGCATCTTTATGTATGCCAAATAACAAATAGAGCTTTACCATTCTTTCTCCTATTTCAGTATAGAGCTTGGGCTGGCTACTGTTATGCATTCAAATAATACTTCTGCATCTGTGATTTTAGTTCGAAGCACTGAAATCTTTCTGCATTTCATGCCTGTGTCATGGCATGGCAAGAAAATACTGCAGCATTTCTTCTAATGCTCCAAAGCACTAATAACACCTGCATCACTGGAGTAACGGTGCATCTACTACCCTTAGCAGGAGAGAAACACAGAGTAATTCAAGTTGGAAAGAAGATTCTTCTTTAGTCCAAGCTGTGTTAAAAACTGAGCTAACTCCAAAGTTAGGCCAGGGAGGCAGGGTATCAAGAATAATCCCTTTTATCTGTCACCAGTGGGCAGGACAGAAATTAATTTTTTCATGTGATTTAAATGTAATGTTTCTTAGAGCTGATGGGGAAAACAATTACCATACAATATAGATTCCACAGCAAGGAACTAATAATGAAAGATTGATCTTAGCACCTCATATTTACTACTTCCTTGACACTTTCTGCTCTTCCAAACATTGGATATGCAAGGATGATATTTTTAAAGTCAAATTAAAGGGTAGGTAATTTCTGAGAGGGACTGATTTTTAAATATCAGGGTTTTTTTCCAGTGCAAACTGTAGCAGAAGACAACCAAAGACACCAAGCTGCAGATTTGTTTGCAGCTGAAAAGTACTGGCTCTTGAACTCTTGTGCTTGATTCAGTGGCCAGAACAGAATAAGGCTTGCCATGTCTAAACTGCCACAACTGCTACAGGGAGTTGTTGTTCCACATCTCCTGTGTTCACTGTCTTCCCTGCAGAGCAGCCAAGTCACTTCTTGATCACAGTGCAGCATGGAAGTGCTGCTCTGCCCACTAACTGGGAGGGGCAGGGTAGACTGTATGTCAGAGGTGAAAACAGACACCTCAAAGCTTCACACGCATGTCAAAGGTAGGCAAAGACTGCCTACTCTCCATAGATCCTTCCTTCCACCTTCTCTTTCCCGCTTGCCTGTAACATTGTGGGTTGTGTAAGAACTTTGTTACCAGCAATGGTGCTTATAAAGGGTTATGTGAGGTGAGGATCATATGTATCTGAGAACGTGGTTCTTCCTGCTAAAATTTCTTCCAGAATGCCTCTTAGGCACCTACAGCAGTGTGCAGCATTCCCTGATGTGACTGTGTGTTTAAGGAAGTAAGAAGGGGGAAAAATACATTATTGAGTTATCTGAAAAACTCATGTGAGATTGTGCAGCTCATGCACTCTGGTGCTCATCACATAACTACGAGGGGTTTTAATCTTAAATTTCCACTCTCTTAAGACATTGGGTACCCGTGTCCCCCACTGGTACCTAGGATCTAGAGGAGGGCAGCTGAAGGAAAGGGCTCTTCTCTGCTGTCGCCATAGTCCCCTTCCCCAGGCATCTAGGGATGCTGCAGCTGGAAGTGAGGCACTGAGCCACATCAGCAGCTCTCACCATGCCTTGTGCATGTGGATCTGCACTGGCTGTAAACACAGACAACTGAGATGTTGCTGCACTGCTCAGGAAAAGAGCCAACCATCACCTACAGTTTTGGTGAACAAGGATCTGCTACAAGAAAAGCTATTAGCTAAAGGCACAAAAGCATCTGGCCGATGAGGCTGGAGGCAGTTTTGTGACCTGAGGTTTGTTAGTAAATGCACCTGCCTCCTGGGATGCTTATAGTCCTGCAAAAAAATGACCAGGCAGGATGGATTTGGAGATCCCTAGGGAGGAACAAGTCCAGTTACTATCACAGGCCTTTCTGTCAGTACCAGTAACAGAATAAAAGCTCATAAACTTTTTTTTTTTGTTTCTTTTCCTTTTTTTTCTGTGCACGTTCCAAATGTGGAAGAGAGGTAGTAAAAAGATTTGAGAAGAACTTTGCTGCAAGAAACAGCCTTTGGATTTCACTAAAAGAGATAGAACCTGAATCTGGAACTGTTCCAAGGGTTATACATTTTATTAGTAACACAGCAGAGGCAACATAGGCATGGACGGTCTTATTAAAACATGCTCAAGTTCCAGAGTTTTCTATGGGTCAAGTACACAGTTAAGTAAAGAACACCATTCCAGATTTCCCTGAAAAGAGTGGGTTCCTGATAAAGAAATTGCCTAAGGATGTTGCGTATAAACACTTTCCAAGTGGCAAGTCTGGTTTTGAATTTGCAACAAAGCAGTTCCTCAGCAATAGCCTTGTGTTCCTAGCCCATGATAAAATCAAGGTAGCTTTAAGGCCCTCGCTCAAAGATTTCAGTAGGCTCTGGTCACGCATGAAGTTTTTCTCATTGTAACTTGCTTATGTGCTTTATCCTCAAATTAAAATATCTGCTGAGTCCACAGTTTCCCAGAGCTCACATACAGTCATAGCAAAATCAGTTCTGCTTGGAGGAAGCCAATGCCCTACTTCTCAGGGTGGGCTGTTTCCATGCCAAGACAGAGTCTCAAGTCATTTGGGCTCCACCTTGCCTCCAACCAAACCAGCTCAAAATTTCTAAAGGAGTTTTTTCAACAGGAACAGTGAATTCCTTCACCTTGCCCAATTCTCTTCTTTCTAGGCACTGGCAGAATTATGACACACACATTTAGGAAAAGGATGATGGCCACACACACAGAGGATCACATTTGATTGCATGTTGGAAATGATGGAAAATGGCAACTTCAAATAGAGCTTTAATTTCAAATAAAGTAGTTTCCAAACCTAACCGCTGTCTGGGGGTGGCATGTCTGTGACAGTTGTACTGTGACATGTAGCTTGCTGTGCTCAGTAGCTCTGCAGTGAAGGATCACAGATGGTTTGCAGTGCTGGGAAGACCCTGCTCTTAGGGACTGAAGTCTTACTGTACTTGCAGAATTCCACCTTAAAAGTAATTGGACATCTCTGTAGCTCAGAGGTTTGCTAAGCAATGACACACTGCACTTGGATTTGGAAACATAACATCTGGAAGCCAAATGTTAGAGGCAATATAAAAGGGCCAGCCCCACAAACCAGAGGGGCACTTCTAAGCCAGGAACATCTTCAGGATGGACATTTTCCTTCTCTGTGTGTTCCTGCCTCTGGTGACTGTGGCATGGGGCCAGTACAGTGACTATTATTATGGTCCCTATAATTATGGAGATAATGATGAATGGGTCAATGTGTACCGGCAAGGTTTCAACTTTCAGTGCCCACACGGGCAGGTGATCGTGGCCGTCAGAAGTGTCTTCAGCAAGAAGGAAGGTTCTGACAGACTGTGGAACTATGCCTGCATGCCAGCATCCCAGAGCCTCGGTGAGCCGACAGAGTGCTGGTGGGAAGAGATCAACAGGGCGGGAACCGAATGGTAGGATAACCCCAGCCATCCCTGAAGGGCACAGCCCTGACAACCCCTGTGGGATGTGGGTCCTAATACTGTGGTCAGAGCAATGCAAATGCATATGAATGCCATGATAACCTGCAGGCTTTGCTGCCTTAAGACTCTTTAATCACATGCATTGGAGCTGATCAGCATCACATTTGTCTTCTCTTTAGCAGTTTCTTGCTGGAGGGTGTCAGTGTCCTTCGGTCACTCACAACCTCAGCTCTGAAGTGGTTTGGTGTTGCTATTGTTTCAATGATGAGGAAAATGAGGCAAGCACCTATGGTGAGGAGAGCATAAAGTCCCTCTTGAAAAGTCACATTGAATCAGTGACTAAACTGGGAAACAAATCGCAAAACTCCTCACTTCATCCTCACGCTCTGATCACTCTGATTAGGAAAAATAATCTCTGTATTGCACTGGCTCTTTGCTTTGTGTTTTTGTTGCTAAGCTTTTTGGCTTAAGCATAAACAAATGCTGTTTTCTAGTTGTGCTGTTGTTACAGGAGCCAAAAATCCACACTAACAAGTGATGACGGTGGCACATATATCTGCATGGTGATAGCAGAAGATCATGTTAATTCCCTAATAGCATCAGTTTGCTTAGCTAGATGTTACATTTTCCATTAACCTTGGAGGCACAGGTGATCACATTATGTGGAGACAATAATTTCTGGAAATATGTATAGCATTTCATATTTGGGCAGAATACTCAGTATTTAATTATTTTCTGGGGTTTTTAATGAAATGGGAAACAGAGTATTGGACAATTCTGGGATTGAAATATTCTTTGGACAGAATAAAATGCATACAGTAATGAGTATTTTCAAATACTTGAAATGGTTTTGTCCTAGAAATTGCAATGTCATTTTTTGATTTTTTTTTTACATGGGAATACGTTAGCTATGAAATGTGAAGTTTCTGCTTTTTAAATGATTCAAAATTTTGTTCTGAATTAATCATATTCTTTCATTTACCATGTGACACATGCCTATGGCTGATGCAATTGCTAAGGGAAAAAACAATTGACTCGATGTTTAACTTTGGAATAAGAACTGAAAAAAGGGGGAGAGCTGCAAAACAGGCAGAAAGAACACATTGTGATAATCCTGGACAACTTCTTCATTTTTAATATACTTATGCAATTTCTATGTATTGCATAATAATTTTGAATTAGACATTTCTTTTTGTTCAAAATAAACTTATTTCTTCACTCTCTAGAACTCTGTGGCAGCAATTGCTCAAGTTCACTTCTCACAAACAGGATAGTGTATAAGTCTATACAGAACATTTTCTTCTGCTATGTATCCATTCATCACTGTGCTCAGTATGTCAGCATGACTACATCCACAGTGTATTGTCTGAATCTTGTTTCCTTCATCTCTTAAAAAAATATCTTTTCACTTTGTCCTCTTTGTTGCCTACTTTTTTCCTATAGCAAACCCTTTATTTTCTCTCTTTCATAAAAGAAACTTATTTCTTTTTCAACCCCTTTTTAATTGTTTATCTCAGTTTCTCTCCCTTTACTAGTTTTTGGAGTTATTTTAGTAATTCTTCAATAGCTTACCTTTGCAGTCCAACATCCTTACATCTCTCTGCCTACTCTGCATAGAGCAACCTTCCTTCCTTCCTTCCTTCCTTCCTTCCTTCCTTCCTTCCTTCCTTCCTTCCTTCCTTCCTTCCTTCCTTCCTTCCTTCCTTCCTCCCTCCCTCCCTCCCTCCCTCGCCTCCCTTCCTCCCTCGCCTCCCTTGCCTCCCTGCCTCCCTCCCCCCCCATTTTGCACAGGTGAACTTGTGCTCCTAGCAGTTTTCCACCCCCAGGGCTGAGCTAGTTCTCTCAACAGTGCTTCATGGAGAGAGGCTTGCAGCATGCAAGCACACCCCTGGTAATGCCAACACTGCTGCCCAAGAGCCCAGTGACTGGAGTGAAAGTGTTGGCCAGTGTAGCCCCAAATTAATGTGGTGGCACAGATATATCCTGGGGAAGCTTTGAGAATCCTGCCTTCTCTCTTGGAATTCTTACTTCTCATAGGTGCCCCTCTTCTCTCTCTCTTCCCCATCCACCTCAGTGCTATTTGGAGCCATCCCCAATTCTAAAAAGATTCATGCAATAATCAAGTGAGACCCCAAATATGAGTTACCATATGTACCAATGGCTCCTGTTTGGCCAACTCTCTTCCCTGCTATCTCCCAACAAACCAATCTGTTGGTGAGCAATATGTCATTCTCAGGTCAGCTGACACAGCACTCTGCTGGACTTGCTAGTACATGTTCCCATCCTCGTAGGATGGACTAAAATATTCCTTCTTCAGCTCTGTCTCACAGAGTATTTTGTCTCACCTTGCACACCACATCCAGTGATGCTCAACTGCTTGTACCACCAGTAACTACAAGTCTGCCAAGTTTTTGCTAAAATTTTGCAGAATCAATTAGGTCTGAAAAGACTTGAAATCATTGAGTCCAACCTATGACTGAACACTACCAGGTCATATCTGGTCTGTCCTTATACACTTCCAGGGATGGGTGAACTCCACCACCTGTCCAAGCTGTGGGCTGCTGGCTTTTTCAGGAGTATGCTGTGGGAGCCAGTGTCAAAGGCTGCTACTCTGCTGGAATTGAGGCTTTTTATTCTTTTCCCTACCTTCACTGAGCAATGAGAACAAGCTTGCTGAATCTTTTGTAAAATCCTTTTTACTTAATAATAGGGAGCAGCTATGCCTTTCCCTCACCCACACACCTTCATCCATGCTTTTGCTTTCAGGCTGAACATATCTCCGTTCTTCTAGCTCTCCTCTGGAAGTTTTGTATTCCAACAGTCCTAAGCAAGCACTGATCATACCTGCAGCTCTTCTCTGAGTTCCCTCTTGTTTCTCAGCCAGAACCCTAGTCAGGAAATCTAGTCTGGCAGAAACACCAAATTTAAATAACCTTTGACATATTATGCTTATGGCATTTCAAATTTCAAATTGTGATTTTCAAATTACCATTCCTGACTGCTGCAAAGCTGCCCAATAGAGACAAACTCAAGAGAGGTTTCTTTAGAAAATACAGTAAACAAAAACAAGCTTAGGAGACAAAATGAAGAGGGAATATAAAAGAGAAGAAAGAGTTTCCCACTCATTATTTTCTTTGGCCTTCAGTATTTGGGACAAAATGACAGAAATAGATGGTGGGACCATAGGGATAAGAGAGTTGGGGGGAAGAGGGAACCACTGGCAGAGCTTCCTGGAAAGTTTACTTCTTTCACTAACAGTAGGGATTATACAGATTTAGATAATCAAACCATAAAACTTACAATCTTTCAGATATGAAAAAACAATCCAACAGAAAGAGGACAATGGCACAGATCCACATTAGGCATCTAATGCCTAATAATGCTTAGTTTATGGCCTTTGCCTCCTTCCAGGGTCAATGGAGAGAACAGGTACTCTAAAAACTACTCTCTGGGGAACCCAATCTCTTTCACAAGCAGACTCATGAAGACCAATCCCTTCTAACCACTACCTAGAATTACCTAGTGGCATTTTAGAATATATCTACCTACGGTGCTTCACTGCATAAATGCATCTCTGAAGTTAATCATATATATACATGCACTTCTGAAGAAATTATGTGCATTTGTGCTTTGCTGAAAGGACATAAGAAGTCTGTGAACCTGTTAGAAGACTCAAAGGGGAAATTGTGGCAATAGATTGGATCAGATGATCAGGAATGCCTTCTCAGCCTCATTAATCTCTGAATATTTTTAAAGTTAAGTACATGTGCAAAGACTTTGTTGAATCTGTTTCAACACCTTACTTCTTCAGACTAAGGTTAACTGTCTGCTAACCAAGATGATATTCAAAAGAGAGACAGCAACTGGGAGCAAGAACCAGTTCTTGGATAATTTGGAAATCCTCATGTCTGGAGTAGGGAAAAGTCTCCAGAGCATGCCCTGATTCTGCAGTCTTTCTACTGCAGAAGTCCTCGAGTCCTTCTACTCCTTCTAATTTTTATGCTGCAGCTTCTCAAAGAATCCTATCTTTTCAGGGCGCACAAATTTTATGTTCTTATATCCATTTCTACTGCAGAAATTTTGACCTTGTTTAAATATTTCACCACCTAAGGTCTGAATGATTGAGGGTGAGACTGTTCTTCACTGCTTTGGTGAATACTACAGAGTTGTCTCTACAGACAAGTCTCTGAACAAGGGTTTTAATAAAAGCTATTTTTCTTGCTGAAAACTATCATACCAAAAGACAGGATTCACACAAACAAAGGAACAAAAGCTTGCAAGTGAAGACAAACAGCTCTTCCCTCCAGTAAAATAAGTTTGGTTTACACCACATGATACAAATGAAACCATGCCATATCCTCATACTCCCAGTTAGCTGTAAAGCAAAAAGGAGAAGGATTTCCAGCCAAGAGCCATTTGCTCCACGTTTATTGCCTCTTTTCCTTGTTTAGATATCTGAGAAAGTGCTTAGATGGGACTTGGAAAAACCAGGTATATAGATTCTCCCTCTCCACTCCCTTTCTCTCCCTCCTTTGCCCAAAAACTAGATGCAAAGACAGACTACTGAGCAAAGGATCCTCCTGTTCAGGTTCTGACAGCACACCTTGGTATATCAGTAGTAACTATTTTTGTTCCCAATCTGCAACCAGTCCCCAATTTCAGATCTGAGGCTGTATGATATTACCCAATCCCAATGATCCAGCTGCTCTTTGAAAATGTTCCCATTTGTGCTATCTACACAAGCAAGTTAATTTTCTTTAGAGCCCTAAGTTTATGTTAAAGGACTAGTGCTACAAGTCCATTTAGCACAGCTGCAATGGACTGACTCCAGAGGGAGCATCTGAGGAGAAGAGGAATGTTTCTGTAGAAAAGGCCTCGTCAGCTACTGTCAAGAAGAAATCACCAGAGTGAAAAGGGCCTTGCCTTCTACTGGAATTAAATACATCATACTGCAACAGCCTTCCCTTGGTCAGGGAGAAAACAATAAGTCA